CATGTTATTTGACCAGCCTTCCTGAATTTCATTATTACTGCATTGTCTGTGTTCCCTCCCGCCCCGATCCCCAAAAAAAGAAAAACCACAACAAAACATCTTCTAATGGGAGTATAAATACCATATTAGAGAGAGGAAGATAGTTTCACTAGAGAGAAACAGAACAAGTCTTAAGAGATGTGTACAACTGGTGTTTTGGGGACCTTTTGTAATAAGGGATTATTATTTTTTTAATAAATAATTCAGAGCAGCATATTGGTAAAGTTCATTAACAAATCAAATACTTTTTACCATGAAAGACTTTATCAAGTTCCTCTTCTATCACAAAGCCTTCCAACAAAGAGTGATGCCATGCTGAATTAAACCATTCAGCACATGACCTTGATAAAGCTTCCCAATATTTCAGTGACAGGTAGTAAAGCGCTTGTACCACCAAACTATGTCCAAATGCTTTCGAGGGCAGCACTTTTACCCCTCAGACTTAAAAAAAACCAACAAAAACCCCCAAAAAAACCCCAAACAACAACAACAAAAAACCACCCTCCAAAAAACCCACAAAACCAAAAACAATAACAACAACAACAAACACCAAAAAAAAAAGAAGTGACAGCTTTCAAAGTGGGGGCTTCCTACTTAACTGAAGTAAGCATGAACAGTTCAAACTGCATTTTCCTTTCAAAGCTTGAAGAGAATGCTGCTGTGTGTATCACTGACAAGCGATCCATTTTTGAGAATACTGCTCTAGATAAACACCAAGTATCTCATAGTTAAATTAAGACAATGTAAGAAGATGTAATTCTCTACTACAGCACAGACTCCCAAAGCGTGCAATTCTCAGATCCATGTAGTTCCTATGAAAAAGTGTAAACACACCAACTTCAAAACGGTGTCATCTTATACCAGTTATTTGCTCTATTTCTAAAATACTAATAAAGCAATTCTTGCAAATATAGAAAGACATTAAAGCCCTCTTACTAGCAAGACAGTGGATGTATCAATTTTCCAAAGCAATCTAAAGCCACTAGGAGGTAATGTACTCTCTGAGGTGTATCTTTGCACTTGTATCAAGCATTAGGGCCAAAATGCCAATTCATTTCAAACTTAAGCCTACTCCAGTTGAAAGAAGCCTTTGTAATGAAAATCATCATTGACCGTAAACATGCCTGACCTGCTGCACATGAATAATATTGGCTAACACAATTGTTTGAATCGAAGCATAAGAAATATAAAGTTATCATCAGTTTTATAAATATACAATAAAGAAGATGTAGATTATTATTTATTAATTAAAACTCTAGCTATACAGCATATTTCTAACACAAAAGTGGGCTGCCTTGTAATAATCAGTAGATGTCTCAGAAAAGACAGCTTGTTTTACTATTGCCAGTAGACTTGTGTTGCTGCTGGACACAAGACAGATACAACACAGTATGGATATGCATGTAAGTCAATACAGCATTTTGGATGTACAGAATTTGGCATGTTATTCCAAGTGACCTTTCAGACTGATCATAAATTTTCCGCACCATGTAGCCTCCTCTGGTGTACAGATCCATCTTCCTCACTAGCAGTGTTAATGGAAACAGATCCTCCTCACCAAGAATACTTTGCGTAAGCGTACACAGAGCATCAGAAAGAGAATGGTAACTCAATGAAAGACCACTTAACCTCGTCCCTTCCAGTTTCCCCTTTTGCATCAATCCTTGACCAACTCATTGAACTTCTCCTGTACAACTTTGGAAGCCAAAGCAGCTGAAAAAGCACCACCACACCACCTTTCGACAGCTGAAGCTTGAACGGAAAGAGCAGGTATTTTTGACAGAATGCTATCCGAGGCTGCTGCTGCACTCTCTCGAGTAACAAGTTCTGGCCAAGAAACACATTACATGTCTCCTACTTCAGCTCCCAGCTGCTATGAAAGAGGTTTCAACACTTGGAAATAACTTGCATATCTATCTGAGCTGTCTTCCAATTGACATGATGGGATAGTTGCAACAATCTTAATACAGCGTATTTATCTCTCCCTGAAGCTTTTAGAAAGATTATCTAGCAACAGAGGCAACAAACATATCTGTCCTCTCAAAGACGACTTTTCATAGATAATAATTATGTCTGCATGTTTAGAGGGATAAGAAAAGATAAAAAACCAACCAAATTTTAAATCCTGCAGAAAACTGCCTTGCACAAAATGCATCCTCACTGAAGAAAGTTCTCTGTTTATAGCTGAGTACATTATTTTGTGCTGCAAACATTAATGCAGTACAGCTATAACAAAAATAAGCCACTAATCTGTAAAAGAGTAGTTAAGAGGGAACACCTACCATAGATAAAGATCCCATTGTGTTAGGCTGCATATCATGGTATTTATAGCTTGACCACAAATGCAAGTCTTAAACCTGCAATGTTTTGCAGCATACATCAAAGATTTATTAAAATTACTTGACTGGTTCCTATCTATTACAAGATCCTCAAAAAGCTACAGCATGTGTAAGCAGTAAGTTAAGTGTTACTCTATGAAGACAAGAATAGGTAACTGAAGAACCAAACCCTGCTATTTATGACACCACTGTAAGTCCAAAGAAGCCCCTTGAATGCCTGATAGAGCCTACTGGGCCAGAAAATTTCAAACACATCTTATATGATCTTATACGTTACTATTCATTTACTATGGTTTGAATTCAGTCTTGACAATCAACTACTCACTACTCAGTAATATAAGGGAAGCACAGCAAGCAGCACGCTATTTGGTAGAGAGTACAAAGCAGTCTTTCCATCTGTCCACTTTCTAGTCAGCTTGTTCCTCATCACCATCACAAGAAATTGCACTCTCCAATTAAAAAACAGTAGTTCTGCAGACAGTCTGAAAATACAGTTGAATATATACTGAAACAATGGGCAACTGAGTCCATTCTCCAAAACAGATGATCTAATTTATTTTTCTTTTATAAAATGTCTTTAAGTGAACTTAATTAGTAAAACATATTAAGGTTAAACCAACCAACCAACCCTCCCCTCCTTCCCCAAAAAAGGGCATCAGGAAACAAAGTAGTAATTTTGAACAACATAGGCCTTTTTGCTCCTTATGCAGGGCCTGTGTAAGGGACAGCAGCACCAAGTATTCTTAAGGTTAACGGATACTAAAATAAATTCATACATTGGGCATACACCATACACAGACCACATGTTTAGGAATGTGTGTATGCACATAAACACACAGTAAAAGCAGTTATGAACATTTTGTGGATTTTTAAATTCTTTTTTTTAACCTTTTGGCTGATGATGCTGAGTTGCTAACGCTTTTTAACGGATAGTGCAGCTCAAATGACTGGGTACGCTGAAACAAGCATCATAAGCTCTGTCTATTCACTTAGTTTGTCTGGATTAAAGAAAAAAAAACCAAAAACCCAACCAAAACCAACCAAAACCCAGCCCCATAAAAATCAAAGGCCAACTCCTATTGACTTAAGTGGTTTAATATGCTCTAAAATCTACAGCTCCAATTTTGCCCTCCTTTATACTAATGAAAATCCTAAATAATTGCTCTGAAGTCAGTACACACTCATAGGATAAAGATGAAAAGAGCATGAGAGTAATTTTATTTTATAGTTTAGCTTTATGCTCATGTGACTGATTAACTCCAGTCTCACAAGAACATAAGTGCCTTTGATTTGTATGTTCATACAAAAAAATAATGGAAAATATGGGATATCAAATTGACCCACAATAAAACTGGATCATGAAAGACTGATTGGAAGGGTATTGATGTTTTAGAATATGTTATGAATGAAAGAACTTTCTGGAAAAACCATTACGAAGACACAAAAAGAGATGCTCAAATACTGTGCCAAAAGAATCTGAGGTTTTAATTAAGAGATAAATTAACTCTTTTACAAGAAATAAAGGTTAAGTAACCTCAACTCTGTAAAAATATAACTATTCAAAAAGCCCCAGGAAAAACTGGTCAGGTATGCAATGATCACCGAGACGTGTGTGTCTGGCACACCTTTCAGGTGCTCTGCTACGTTTGTTAACGCACAGCACGGACAGTGCTCAACACCACAGAGCTACTGCTATCGACCCTCCTGTGCTCACATGGGCCTGTGCTGGCTTGGAAGAATGGCCTTTAATCTGCTAATAGTGTGGCTTTTTTCATCCACCAATCACATGGATTTGGAATTCAGAAAAGTATAAACTCAATACTCATATCTACAACTAAAAGGAGTATTCTGCTGCAAGCCAATCTTGGGTTTATACCATCTACAGTTCAGTAAAAATAAAATCCTTTCCCCTTTTCTCAAACAAGTGAAGCCTCATAGGGGGGAAAAAACCACCAAAACCCAACATGTTCTTATAAGGACTTCTATTTTCCCTCCCCGTGTTCTTATTTCAGAAAACAAATTCTTTAAGAGTTTAATCAACGCTACTGCAGAACTTCTTACTGCACTACTGATAATAAAATTAAATTGAAGTGATTAAAGTTAATTCTTCTTTGGATTGTCTTATTTTCAGGCAGATTTTTTTCTCCTAAAAACATATTTTGAAAGTCACACACATTTGTGTAAGCAGCAGCCAAAACCATGCATTTATTAAAATTCAGTATCAGGTCATTGAAGCTTGCTTTTCAAAGAGCAAAGAAAGTAAAATAAAACAGAGAGCAGATTCTGATGCGCTGCCGGGGTTTAAGAGCACTGGGACTCTTTCACTGGACACCCGGGCCATGTGTCCCTGCAACCACGAGGTACAAAGTTCACACAGGCCTCCTGGCCCACACGAAGCTGAGATTCCTACGAAGGCTTTTGACTGCAACAGGTGCAGCTGACCAAAAAACCCCAACTGCCAGCAAGTTTAATTCGGGCTTGAAACTCTGCTTTAAAGAAAAGTTTTCTCCCAAGCCTCATAAGAGTAGGGAAAAAAAAAACAAAAAACAAAAACAAAACCAAAACAAACAAAAACACCTAACAACAAACAAAACACAAACCCAACAAAACCCAGCAATTCACCGAGCTCCCTCGGGGGCAATGGGAGGAGAGATTTGTACTCCCAAGCAGAAAGGCACCTGTTCTCCAGCTTGCCTTGCTGCAGGGCAGCAGGAGGGACCCCAGCATGACCCAGGTAATAGCACCTCCAAGATTCATTCACCCAGTAACAGATAAACCTCTGGAGCTGGGCGGCCGAGCTCCGCGCAAGCAGCCTCAGCAGGCGGCTCAAGCCCACCCTCCCCTGAGGCGAGCCCGGGCGCCGAGGAGCTGGCCAGGCCTGGCCCAGCCCCGCGCTCACCCCCGCCATCTCGCAGCGCTACTCAGAGGGAGCCGGCACTTACCGAGCCCCAGCACC